CTCACAAGGGGTTCGCAGCCTAGCACTGACATGGGTTAGCAGAAGATCTGGCAGAGGTCTGTTGTGAATGCTGGTCTTATATGCAGGTGACTTGATTGGAACCAGGTGTGGAAGCTGATTGGAGTCTCTGCCTGAAGGTAGAACCCAGCGGAGTGGAAAAACCCCGTGCTCACCCGGACCATGACAGAAATCATCATGTTCCCCCTGCTATCAGCCCTCCAACTCCCACTGTCACAGCATCCCCACCCGACCTAAACGTGTCATCCCTTGCCCAAGCCCTACAAGACAGTGTGGCTCTAAATAGACTTCCAGTTCCAGAGCCGTCTGTATTTAGTGGGGACCCCATTCAGTTCATTGAGTGGAAAACTTCATTCATGTCACTTATTGACAAAAAGGCCATCTCCCCAGCAGACAAACTTTAATACTTAAGGAAGTATGTAGGCAGCCCAGCTCGTAAAATATTGGAAGGAACTTTCTATAGAAATGACAGCGACACTTATAAGGATGCGTGGAACAAACTGGATAACAGATATGGCCAAACCTTTATTATACAGAAAGCCTTCAGAGTTAAGCTCACAGATTGGCCAAAGATCCAACCAAGAGATGCAGAAGGATTAAGAGACTTCTCAGATTTCTTAAACATTTGCCAAGATGCAATGACACATGTGAAGAACCTTGAAATACTGAATGACTGTGAAGAGAATAAGAAGCTAATCCTCAAACTACCAGAGTGGATAGCATCTCACTGGAACAGGAAGGTTACTGAAGCCGTAAAGGGCAATAAGGAATTCCCCAGTTTTAACCCTTGTATGGTGTTCGGGTCTGTGAGACCCGTGTTCAGTTTTTTTCAAAAGAAAAATTAAACAATTAATTATTTTTTCACGTGTAAATGTGTTGTGTCTTTCCACTCACTCCACTTGATTATAACTGATTTATTTATAACATTTTATATAAAAGAAAAACGAGTGATCTAACAAAGGGAAAGGGAAAAAATTAACCATGTTTGCTGTTCATATGTCTTGTAATTGGGATGAAGTAAACATCTGTTGAGTAATTTAACATAAAATTGTTTGATAGTGTTAATTTGGAAAGCCAAAACTCTAGCGGGTCCACCAGACCCATGAACACTGGCTGAGTAACAAAAATACGAACACCACACAAGGGTTAAGGACTTCGCCGCATTTATGGCGACAAAGGCAGAGATCGCTTGCAATCCGATCACCTCAGCTTATGCCCTCCGCAGCTCTGAGTCGAGCACTGCAAAACAAGGCAGCAGAGACCCTAAGAGGAACAAGGCAAGCGTTCTAAACACACAGACTGAGGCTGACACCGAGAGGCTCAAGCCAGTTAAAGGAAAGGAAAGACCTCCTTGTGCCTTCTGTCAAAATAATCAGCACAGACTACATGGATGTCCCAAGTTTATTGCTAAAACTCTGGAGGAGCGTCGAGATTTTGTCAGAGAACATAAGCTCTGCTATGGCTGCACCAAACCTGGACATAGTGCAAAAGACTGTCGACATCGACACTCATGCAACACGTGCAAGGGTAAACATCCCACTTGTTTACACGATGACAACTATGTAAAGAAGGAAAGGGTCCTGCCAAAGGAAACCGCTATTCTGAGCAACCCCGGCCAAACGGAGGCTGCTGCAACTTCAATGTCAGTGATTACTGGACAGCCAACTAACACATCAATGATTGTGCCTGTGTGGGTGTCAAAAAAGGATGCAGGAACTGAGGAACTGGTTTACGCCCTGCTGGACACACAAAGTGACACGACATTTGTTGACTACACGAATCAAAGGCAATGGAGATACAGTACGTCCCTACCGACCAGAATCCTGCGGATCGTGCTTCTAGAGGTTGTTTCGTCAATGAGCTAATATCATCGAACTGGTTTACCGGCCCTGCATTTCTATGGGAAAAGGGAGTTGACCTCTCAGAAGAGGTGGCTCCGGAACTATCAGTCGGAGATCCAGAAGTTAAGGAAACACGAACTCTAAACACGGAAACTATAGAACAAGATTCTCTTACTTATCGGCTGGCAAAGTTCTCGTCCTGGACTCGCGCCATCTGTGCAGTGGCTCGCATTCTTCGAAGGATCAACAAGGATAAGTCAATCGGCCTCTCTACAATGCAGGAAAGAGAAGAAGCCAAGCGCCTCATCATCAAAGATCTGTAGAGACAAACATACTCGGAGGAAGTGCGGCTATTGAAGAAAGGTTGTCAGCTGCCACCTCATAACAAGCTAAATCAGCTCAACCCCTTCTTGGACAACAATGGTGTGATTAAGGTGGGAGGTCGACTCCGTGATTCAAACCTTCCTCTCTCAGTCAAACACCCTACCATCATTCCAAAGGAATATCATGTTACAAGGATGATCATAGCATACTGTCATGAAGAAGTCAAGCATCAAGGTGAGGGGATGACTCTCAGTGCAATTAGGACAAGAGGTTACTGGATACCAGGAATTGGTAGGATGGTTGCATCCTATCTTCGCCGATGTGTAGTTTGTCGGAAGCTTCGGAGACGGACAGAAGAACAGAAAATGGCCGATCTCCCTCCAGAGCGAGTAAATTCATCCCCACACTTTACCTACTGTGGAATGGATTGCTTTGGAACCTTCTATAGCAAGCAAGGATGTAGTGTGCGAAAACGATATGGTCTCCTTTTCACCTGCTTCTCCTCCAGAGCCATCCATATTGAAATGCTGGAGGATCTACCTACAGACTCATTCATAATTGTACTGCGCTGCTTCATTGCTATATGTGGAGCAGTGCGCCAGATCAAATCTGACCAAGGCAGTAACTTCCTAGGAGCCAACAATGAACTGCAGGAAGCCCTTGCGGAATTAGATGGTGATAAACTGTGGTGATAAACTATGAATGCGAGAGTGAATGAATTGTGAATGCATTGTAAAGCGCTTTGGGTGCCTTGAAAAGCGCTATATAAATCCAATCCATTATTATAAACTGACGAACTTCCTTTCTAAGAAGCAGTGTGACTTCATCCTAAATGCTCCTGGCTCAAGTCACGTTGGTGGAGTGTGGGAGCGTCAAATTAGAACAGTCAGGCGTGTTCTCAACGTGACCCTTGGACTCTCACCTGGAAACCTATCTGATGCTTCCCTCCGAGCATTCTTCTATGAAGCAATGACGATAGTTAATAGTCGTCCTCTCACTAGGGATGGGTATCGAAACCCGGTTCTTGTTGAGAACCGGTTCCCACTGTTTCAATTCCTTGGAATCGTTTGCCATTTTTGCAAACGATTCCCTTATCGATTCCAGTCGCCCCGAATGACGTCACCACGTTGCGGAGCGTC